CGCAGGCGGGGGTCGCCGCCGGCGGCGATCGGGTCAGTCTGTCCCGCCGGCCTCTGCGTTCTCCTCCTCCTCCGCAGCCGCAGCTCTTCCAGATGGCGACTCCGCAGCTGGCACCTTGTCAGCGTCCCGGGGCAGCTTATATCTTTTCTCGGAGACCCGCCTCCTGGGCTCCCTGGCTCGGGTCAACGCCACACCAGCCAGAGAGAGGAGGAGGGAGACAGAGAGGAAGGAGGGGAAGGGAGGGAGGGAGAGGAGGGGGTGGAACCCTGCAGAGACCTGGAGGAGGTGGCCACGAGCTGCTCACGCCTGGACCGTGTGAGCTTGGGGACCCGGGTGGAGGCCCCCCCACGGCGGGGTTGCGCGGGAGGAAGACCTGCCCGTGGAGGTCCCTCCGCAGGCGTGCGCAGTGGGGTTGGACCCAAAGCCTAGAGGTGCCCGACTACATTTCTGACCAGGGGCCCCTTTCTTAGTGGTGGTGATGGGTGCACAGCCTATCCTAGTCCCACTCAGCCTCAGAAGGAGGGAATCTGGGGTTCTACCTAAAACAGAAATCTCTTATTTTTTATTCAAAAGAGTGGTCACCTTGTCAGGTGTGTGGCGATCCATCGAAAAGGAGAAGGCAAGAGGGAGGAATCCGGTGAATGAACTGAACAGAGCAGGTTTTCCTCCACACGTTGGGTGAAGCAGAATGGGCTTCTGCTATCTCTTTCCAGCCTGTTGGGTCTCATTCAGAGGTGCATGCATTGCTAGTGTCATTTGATAGAAAATTATTCACTAAAGGTGCTTTTTGTGCATTGACGGGTGAAAGGGGAGGAGAGGGAATGAAGGGGGGGGTGTTTGTTTGCTAGGTGTTCTATATGTACTTCTGCGTATCAGGGAACAGCCATTAAATCCAAATTGTCCTCACTCCTACCTGAGAAGGGAAGCTGGGGGTGGGGGCAGGCAAACACAGAAGGGAGCTGTTGATAAAGGTTTGCTGATCTAGAATGAAAATATCTCATGCTCTCCTCAATTTGTCACGTCCCTGAATCTGGCGGTACAACTGCAGCATGCCAGCTCACTTTATCGTAGAAGTGGATTGGGGGAAGGAGGGTGTGAAGTAGATAGTTTGGGTAAGACGCCAGAGTGGAGTGTGTGTTTGAAAGTTGAGGCTATAGGGCTTCTGATGAGGATTAAATCTGATCACCTGGGGTGGGGGTGGATTCTCACTGGGCTTTGGTTACCCATATATCAGTTAGCAAAGTAGGGGAAAAGGAGAGGCCAGTAGGCCAGGGGGAGGTGGAGAAAGGGAGAGAGAGGGCAGGGGGAGGAAGGAGAAATCGAACTGGCCAGAAAATTGCAAAGGTCAGTGATGCAATCTTGCAACAGCTTGTCACAGTCAGTCAAACTGAGCCTTTTGGGGAAGGACAGGCAATAGGGCTGTTTCAGGCATCAAATATTTTAACCATTTCTAATGTTAACAGTGATCTTTCTTTGGGGTCTGAGGTAATCTTCCAGATAATTCGGCTAGGAAGACAGTAGTATCAACAACCATCCCTTTTGTGTGGAGATTGGTCAAGGTTACCTAGATAGCTTATTTAAAATTTTCCCTTTTAGCCTATACATGAGCAGTCAAGGTGACCATAGGCCAAAAAAGGATTATTTCTGGAGGATTATATCCTCCATGTACTGTTCCTTTAACCTTGTCAGGCAGGAAAATTCCATAATGAGAGTCCGAGCCAAGTTTGGTATCGGTCTTGGCATTTTCTTTGAATCTTCCTTATAATTTCAGAGCAGTTTTGAATGACTGGCAGACATGGTTTGTCAACTTTCTCAGTACCTAGGAGTGTCTCAAACATCTGGAAAAGCACACGGCAGGTACCATGATATGTAACTTGGTTTCCGCTCTAAAGGTGGGTCAGGCCAGGTTTGCACCAGCACTCCCAAACCAACTGGCCAGTACGTATTTCCTGTGATTCTGTAACTCAAAGACGCAAGCCACACATCTTCTAAGGTCACCAGGATGTCATTTATCTGGGGTTCCCCTTTTCTTCACTTCCTGTGTTCGAGCATGTCACCAACTCAGATGAGTTTCTTGGATTTCTTTTTTTTTTTTTTTTTCTTTGATAATGGAAGCTTGACTCCCAGGCTCCCTTCCCCCAGCTGGCTGATCAGCAGAGGGGCAGCAAGTGCCATGCATTGAGGCCACCTGTGAGTTTGGTGTTTGTTTCTGATTTAGGTGGTAGCTGGGGCTGAGTGGGAGCTAGTGGGTATAGAAAAGATCCAGTGTCAACTCATGCCTAGGGATTTCTGAGTATAGCTCCGCTATGTGGATAAAGAGGACATAGCTCCTAGGGGTGGGGGGTGGTTAGGTAGGGCTTGGAAACTCAACATGCACTTTAACTGAGCTGACGTCACTTTCAGAGAAGTTAAGCGTGTCTTGCATCAGGCAGGGCAGACACAGGTATAGCTACGGAAGTCAGACCAAACCGTAGTGCAATTAGTCATCCCATTTTGCCCAGGGTTGAGGGGTTTTCTGAGATGTGGGACTTTCAGTGCTAGAGCCAAGACAATTCCAGGCAAACTGGGACAGTAAATCCCCCTACCCTTGAGTCTTACCTCCATATTTGATTCTTGCCATTCCTAGGAAGGTGGTAAGGGCCAGTTTAAAATTTATTTGTTTTCCAAATTCCTTCCTTCCACATATTAAAATATCTAGAGCCTTCTACAGAGGGGAGAAAATCACAGAGGGGCAATACATAGTCCATACAATACACTGTCCAAGTACAGAAGAAAGATAGAACTGTCCTTACAACTATGCGCTGGTGACTGAAGGAACAGGGACTGCAATCTTTTGGATGGCTAGTGGCATGTGAGCCCAATTGCTGGTAGTCGTAGTATCTTGTTATTTGCTGCTTGCTGCCTATGCCAAGTTATTGTCCCTACCTGGGATTAGAGAAGACTGGAGAGAGCGATCATCATAAGAGATACATTAAAACTACTTGTATATCTTAAACCCCACTTAAATTTGTTTTCTTTGAGTTACTTTCATTTCAGGTAAGTTAGTCTTAGAGAGAAGACTTCTCATCACCTCAATGGACGATTTTAAAATTTATATGACTAAATGTTATCTTCCCTATTCTTGTAGACTTGAGTTCTAGAGTCTAGATGTTTCTGGGTGGATAACTTGCTATTATCATGAGCTTGCCACACTTAAACCAAGACTCCTCACCTCCTCTGCACTCTTTTTTTTTTTTGGAGAGGTTTTTGCTATAGGGCGCGTGCACTCGCCAGACAGACAGAGAGAGACAGAGAGACAGAAAGCAAGAAATCACTCCTCAGGGGGGATGGCCACACCGCAATCCCTTCTCTGTTCTCCTCTTGGGATCTTGGGCACACACACACATGCACCCAGCGTGAGTTTAAGCCACTGGGTCCAGGACTCAAACCGCAGTTGACCACATGGGAGTCCAGTGACATAGCCATTATGCTAACTGCTGGTCCCGACCTCCTCTGCACTCTTACAAACTAAGTCCACTTCTCAATATCCTTTATTTCTAGCAGCAACATATCCATTTTATTTATTCCCTGGGCTTGAACTAATGTTGTGGTTTTTTGGAGAGGTCTTCTCTGACTACTCTGTGCCACCACAGTACACCCTGTGCTGTTTTTCTACACAGCACCTGTTCCAGGCCTTTCTGTTGACATGAATATTAGCTTAGTCTTGTATTGTCTTCCACAGGTTACTTGCTAGAGAGTAACTTTCATAAGGCTGAAACTGTTTTGCTCTTCACTGTGCTTCCCATGTCCAGAAGAATCCTTGGTGCATAGTAGTTCCTTAGTAGATAACTTATAGAATTGATGAAGGGCTTCCCCACTAGACCATGAAGCCTCACAGGAGAGGGACTGTCGTGTTTACAAGCACTCGGAATTTTAGTAGGTACTCAAGGAAGCATTCAGGTTATTTGGGAGAGAGGAGTTGTTATTTATTTATTTCATAAGCAAGGCATTCCCCCCCCCTCCTTGCACACACACACACACACACACACACACACACACAGAGAGAGAGAGAGAGAGAGAGAGGTCATTTCTAAAGGGTCTTAATGCTGTGATCCACTCCCAGCCTCAGCCAGCCCCAGTTCATGGTGAGTCTGGGATACTCAGGGAGGTCTCCAGATGTGAAACTGGAACCTTCCCCTGTGGGTCAGCCTCGCAGAACATTGTTTTACCTCTGTGCCACCATCTGCCCCTGGGGGACAATATTTTGCCTTTAGTCCTTTTTTCTCTAACCCATCTCAAATACTGCCATCACATGAATTTCTCTAAAATTTATTTTTTTTTATTGCTAATTGCCTGTTTAAAGCCTGAAATGGTTTCTCATTGCCCAGGTGATTAACACTTGGATTTTGCCTGCTAAATTTTCTTGATCTAATATTCTTGAAGCCCAGGATCTCTGTGGCCCAATCTTCCCTACTCATCTGTCTTTATCTCCAATTCCTCTCCCACAAGTACTCATTGTGCCACAGAGGGGCTTCTCCACAGGGCAGGGAACAATGAATCCATTGTTCCTGCCTCACCTTCACTCAAACTGTTCTTCCTACCTGAAATGCTGCCCTCTTCCTACTCTGTCTTCTTTCCTTTTTGAGGCCAAGTTCATTTATGTGCTCCAAGAAACCACCATGGCCTATGCCAGCACTCTCAGAACTCTCCTTTCTGTGAATTTTAGCTGCCATTGTGGCACCTGCTGTGCAGGTTGGTACTAGATTGTGTCCAGCTTCATGGAGTTCTCATTGTTTCCTATGGAAGACCAAATCTTTGTGTCTTTCATGGTCCTGACAGACAGATCAAAAGGGCCCAATCAATATCAGTTACATTGACCTAAAAGTCTGTGCTGGCATAGGTATTGCAAAATGACCAGTTAGGATTCTCTTGGGAGGTTATTTTAGGCACAGTGGCCTGTTCTTGGCTGAGAGTCTTGGGGTCAAAATTGCCCAACACTTGGCAACTTGGTTCAGTTCCCTCCACTCTGGTCAACTCACCTTTCACTTCCAATCCCAACTTAGATTCTGGCATTTCAGCCATTGGCTCATTCTGGGGCACCCCTCCCAACTGCCCCTGGGACAAATCGACCCTGAGGAACAGTCTCTTTATAGACATTTCACTTTTGTCCCTCACGGCTTTTGGCCAAGCAGTACCACCATTGCTCGAGTATGCAGAGCGTGCTGGGCCTTGCACAGTTGTGTGGAGTGTGGTGAGGGCCACTTGCTGTTTGCTGTCTATATCCCACTTCCAGGTCACAATTCTATACTTTACAACTGTGAATCAGCACAAGGAAG